CGGAGACAGAGAGAGAGAAAAGGGAACGAGAGACCGTAAAAGAACGAAGAGATGGAGAAAGTGGGGGGAGGAAGAGAAAGAGAGAGAGAGACCGACAGAAAGAGACAGAGAGACAGAGAGAAAGGAAAGAGAGACAGAGAAAGAACGAAGAGATGGAGAGAGCGGGAGAGGAAGAGAGAGAGAGAGAGAGATAGAGACAGAGATAGACAGAGATACAGAGAGAGACAGAGAGACAGAGAGAAGGAAAAGAGAGACAGAGAAAGAACGAAGAGATGGAGAGAGCGGGGAGGAAGAGAGAGAGAGAGAGTCGGAGACAGAGAGAGAGAGAAGGGAACGAGAGACCGTAAAAGAACGAAGAGATGGAGAGAGTGGGGGGAGGAAGAGAGAGAGAGAGAGAGAGACCGACAGAAAGAGACAGAGAGACAGAGAGAAGGAAAGAGAGACAGAGAAAGAACGAAGAGATGGAGAGAGCGGGGGAGGAAGAGAGAGACAGACAGACAGACAGAGACAGACAGAGAGAGAGGCAGAGGGAAGGAGGGAGCGCATGTTAATATTTGCATCGCTTATCACAGGAGCAGCTGGAGGCGGCGGCGGCGCAACGAGAGACCGACCTCGGCTCACGCTTACAGAAGATGACGCTTACAGCGCAGTCACTCCAAACACATATATCGCAGCAGGCAGGCCAGCTGGCAGAACAGGAGGGCAAGCTGGCAGAGACATCGACCCAGCTGGCGGAGAAGGAAGCCACGCTGGCAGACGTATCGGATCGGCTGCGGGAAAGGGAGGGAGAACTCACGGAGGTGTCGGCACAGCTGGCAGAGAGAGAAGGCGAGCTGGCGGCAGCGTCGGCTCAGCTGGCGGACAGGGAGGGTGAGCTGGCAGCGGTGTCGGGCAGGCTGGAGGAGCGAGAGGGGGAGCTGGCGAGGGAGAGGGAGAAGAGCGGAGAGCTGGAGAGGAAGCTAGAGGAAGGTGACGTCTGTCTCGCCGACCTACAGCAGACGATAGAGGTACGCTGCACGCACGCACGCACGCACGCACGTTGGACGCACGTTAGACGCACCCACGAACGCACGCACGCATGTACACACGCTGCACGCACGCACGCACGCACGCACGCACGCACGCATGTACACACGCTACACGCACGCACGCACGCATGTACACACGCTGCATGCGCACGCACGCTGCACGCTACACGCACGCATGTACACACGCTGCACGCACGCACACACGCACGCACGCACGCATGTACACACGCTGCATGTGCGCGCACACGCACGCGCACGCACGCACGCATGTACACACAGGCATGCATGTACATGTGCGCGCACACACACACTCACGCACGCACGCACATGTGCGCGCACACGCACACGCACGCACGCACAGGCATGCACGTACATGTGCGCGCACACGCACACTCACGCACGCACCCACATGTGCGCGCACACTCACGCACGCACGCACAGGCATTCAAGTACATGTGCGCGCACACACACTCACACACGCACGCACAGGCATGCACACACACACTCACGCACGCACGCACGCACACATGCACACACACATACACACCCACCCACACGCACTCACACACACACTTTAAAGGATGATGAGTGAGGGGTTATATGGCATTAAGGCAGGAAGGGTAAATAATAACAAACAAAAGATGAACAAATGTTTGAACGACTATGTTCGAATATATTGAATTCATCAAGTCAGAAACGTTGATGAATGAATAATATTGTCCTTCGATCTTCCAAAATTATTTTCTTCTTTAAAATCCGACTACACTATCATTCCATGACTTTACCCTTATATTATCAGTATTATTGTTGTTATTATTGTTATTATTACTATTATTATTATCATTATTATTATTATCCCATTGTTATCTTGATTAGGACAACATACATTACACACGTTTGGACGACGTCATCTTCATTCTTCTTCATTCGACATCATCTTTATTATTGTTCTCGCTCGTCTGTCCGTAGAAACTCGAGGATTATTGTTTTTATAATCATCATTATAATCTTCATTATTATCTCAATATTATCTTCTTCATGACAACACTCCTTCACACGCATGCGGACATGCATTCATTATTCTCTCTGCAGAAAAATGGGAAATTAATAATAACTCGTAATCATTATTACCTCTTGATTATGACAACATTCTTTACGTGCATGAGGACATCAGCATCTTCATTCTTCTTCATTCGTACATCATCTTTGTTATTTTCTCGCTCGTCTCCATAGCGACTCGAGGCTGCAGAGCAGACGATGCGAACCACTATGCAGGAGGAGATAGACAGACTGACGGAGGAGCGAGGGAAGGATGCGGCGGAGGCGGCGGGGATGCTGGCGAGGCGTGAAGCTGAAGCTGTAGAGATTCAGCGAGAAGCGGAGGAGGCTGAGCAGCAGCTGCAACAGGTGCGTGTCTTTCCTCGTTAGCGGAGTGTTACCTGCGTGAGGTGAGTGCAGGTGCGTGTTTTTCCTCGTTAGCTCAGTGTTACCTGCGTGAGGTGAGTGCAGGTGCGTGTCTTTCCTCGTTAGCTCAGTGTTACCTGCGTGAGGTGAGTGCAGGTGCGTGTCTTTCCTCGTTAGCTCAGTGTTACCTGCGTCAGGTGAGTGCAGGTGCGTGTCTCCTGATTAGCTCAGTGTTACCTATGCAGGTGCATCTTTCCTCGTTAGCTCAGTGTTACCTGCGGCAGGTTAAGTTGATCCCTCTTTCACACTCTGTGGAGACCAATGGTAACTGATGTCGTATCGGCGAGTTATTGTCCGCAACGACAATTTTATTGCGTTTACCGGCAATTTATTGTTCGATATGACAATTCACAGTGATTTGTCTTCTACATTACCACCAAATTAAGCATCAGCTGTACCGGCGACGGATGCTGAGTGATCATGAGTTGTCAACAAGGTGTCACCGTGTATGTCAATCACATATCACACAAACACAAACATGTTTCTATCTGCGTTGGTTCATACAGAGCAAGATGCACGCATTGCCGCCAGGGGTATCTCCGTCTACTCTCGTCTTCCGGGCTGCTCTCTTGTTTTCTACGACCGAATCGAACCGGCACAGCGGTATCGGATGTTTCTAGTTTGTTTTCGACGATCAGGCGTGTCGTCGTTGCTGCGGGGGCACAGATGGATCAGGTGTCAGTCTTTCACACACTCCTGCAGCCACTAATAAAGTTTTGCACGACTGGTTCGTGTCGTCGTCGTCGTCGCCGCGGTCTCAAACACTGCTCTCTTGTTTTCGACGATCAGGCGTGTCCGCCGCGGTCTCAAACACTGCTCTCTTGTTTTCGACGATCAGGCGTGTCATCGTCGTCGCCGCGGTCTCAAACACTGCTCTCTTGTTTTCGACGATTAGGCATGTCGTCGTCGTCGCCGCAGGGGCGTCGCATGTTTCTAGATGGTGCCGTTAGCGTGACTGCGGGCGTGTCGCGTCAGGTTGCTCGCCTGAGCGAACCCGCGCTCGCACACGCCGCAGCGGTACGGACGCGCCCCCGCGTGCGCCCTCTGGTGGGACTTGAGGTTTGTGCGATCGGAGAACGCGGCGTCGCACGCGTCGCAGCGGTACGGTCGCTCGGCCGCGTGCGTCAGACGATGCTTCCTCATGTTGCTTCCGTCCGCCACCGCGCGCCCGCACACACCGCAGCGGCGCCCCCTATCCGCGCACGCGTGGCGGCGGAGACGCGCCGCGCTGCGGAACGCTCGCCCGCAGGCTTCGCACGGCGTTGCCGCGGCGACGGCGTGCGATGTCATGTGACGCGAGAGGTGACCGGATTCGGTGAAGGTGGCGGCGCAGACGGGGCAAGCGTGCGGCCGCTGCCCGCGGTGGTAGCGCATGTGAACGCTGAGCGTTGTCGCGCGCGCGAACAGCTGCCCACAGGTGGCGCACGCGTAGGGTCGCTCGCCCGTGTGAGTGCGGCGGTGCGCGGCGAGGCCCTGCTTGCGAGAGAAGGTGGCGCCACACTGCGGGCACGCGTGAGGTTTGGCACCGGCGTGCGACTTTGCGTGAGTTGGAAGGTCGCCGGGTCGCCAGAAGGTCGAAGTGCAAAGGTCGCACTTGTAAGGTTTCGCTGTTGCCACCATCCGGGATGCAGGAGAGAGAGAGGGGGGAGAGGAGGGAGGGAGCGAGAGAGGAGGGGGGGAGCGAGAGGGAGAGACAGAGAGAGAGAGGAGGGAGGGAAGAGAGCGAGTGGGAGAGAGGGAGAGACAGAGAAGAAAAGAGAGAGAGAGAGGAGGGAGGGGAGAGAGCGAG